ACAATATTACCATTCGCTTTTTGACAGATAAAATATCTACTAGTTGCAGTATTAAAGTAAACGAACATGATGAGTTATTCTAAACTCGAAAACAAAAACATAAAAAATGTGCTCACAAGAGTCGCCCGGGAAACAGTTCCATTATGTATCGAACTTATTATATTTAAAATTAAACAAAATATTATAAAATAATAGATACATAAAATATGCAATACGCATGTTAGTAAAATAAGTTTAATTTATTAGGAACTTAAGAAAGAAAGAAAGAAAAATATTTATTTGGTACACAAACGTAAAAAACACATAAAATACATGAACACAGTAATTTAGTTACAAGGAGAAAAAATTATTTTATTTTATGCTATTAGTGCACCAAAAAGGTTTCCACTCAGCGTTAAATTCACGAAGTTTAATACTAAGAAACTTCATGAAAGCTGATTTTCAGTGGAACCTATATATAAGAAGGTAGATGGCGATACCGTCAGCTTACACAAATATCTTAAAAACCAAGTAACAGATCTTAAAATATGAAATGATGATAGTAAAAACAAAAAAAAAAAAGAAAACAATAAGCATATAAAAATCGTAATAAAAACAAACAAAGGTACATGTGTATGTGTGTGCGCGTGTGTGTGTGCGTGTGCGTGTGCGCCTGCGTGTATGCGTATGAGAGAGGGATGTGGAGACAGGGATGAAGATGATGAGTGACAACTAAGTGCTAGACTTTTGTAAGGAGAGCAAAAACATATTAAATTTTAACTTGAATGAATTTATGGTTTTCAAGTTTCTTATCGGGGGCGGAATATCATTCCAGCACTCAGTAGCGGAAAAACGAAAACTACCACGGAAAGCAGCAGTGTTATACGGTGTGTAATTAAGTCGCGGTGCTGCTCTAACGCAACGCTGTGAGAAATTGAGCTTGTCGTATAAGTAAGAAGGTTCCCCAGTTTTAACCACTCCGAAGAGCAGGGAGGCGAGGTGAAGCTTCCGTCTGGTGGACATGTTCATCAAGTCGCGTCGGTTTAAGAATGGAGTGACATGAGATCGAGGTGGTATTGAAAAACAGAAACGTGCGCAAGCGTTTTGTATTCGTTGTAACAGTTTTTTAGTTCTTGCCTAATGGCTTGCTTGCTTGTATGCTTAATAGTAGTATGCTTAGTAGTAGTAATGCTTAATAGCATTCACCAAAAACTGCGTCACCATACGACAACTTTGACAATATGAGAGTTTCACACAACTTAATGCGCATATCCACAGTCAAGTACTCGCGAATTTTGTATAAGACTTTAAGTCTATAGAAACAATTACGCATTGTCTCTATAGCATGTTCCTCAAAGCGCAACCTGTCATCCATAATCAATCCCAGGTTCTGAGCTTCCGATACACGATCAATAGGACAACTGTCAACAGAAATTTGGGGATTCCAAGCTAGGATGTTGTCAATTTGTTTACGTGTTCCGAGCAACATGTACTTTGATTTAGAAGGGTTAATTACCAAACTGTTGTTACTGCACCATTTTGAAATACATTTCAAATCAGCTTGAATTTTACTAATTGCCAACTCTGTATCGCAAGGTTTAAACGATATAAATAATTGGAGGTCGTCAGCGTATAAGTGATACTTACTAAACTTGATTGTAGTAACTATATCTGATATGTATAATATAAAAAGTAGTGGCCCTAAAATAGAACTCTGTGGTACACCTCTAACAACAGGCATTGTTGACGATACTATGTCAGAGCCGTTATCACCGGATATTTTAACGTACTGCAGACGATTGGAGAGGTAACTTGTAAACCACTTTATAGTGGAAATGTCGAAACCATAGTAGGCTAATTTAGAGAGAAGAAGCGTTATGTTTATCGTATCAAATGCACGGGAAAAATCAAGCAAAACCAATAAAGTACCTTGCCCACTGTCCCGTGCTGTTAAAACTTCGTCCACGACATCGATCAATGCCGTAGTAGTACTACGAGACCTTCTGAAGCCGGATTGTTTTTCAGGTAGGATTTTATTTTCCTCTAGGTATTTTGTCATCTGTGTACAGACAATTCTTTCTAAGATCTTGGACATGAATGGTAGAATACTAATTGGACGAAGTTCCCCATAGTTACTTGGGTTTGGTTTCTTTGGAATCGGTTTCACAGAAGCTACTTTCCATTTTTCGGGAAAAACGCTCGTTCTAATAGATTCGTTAACCAATCTCGTAATTATTTGCAGAGTTTTTGGTAAGGTAAGCAATATCATATTTAAAGTAATGCCATCATCACCCCGTGCATTTGTTTTAAATGATTTTATTACGTTTAATACCGTTGTTTCAACTGTCTTTAATTTGAAAGTATTAATTCCAAATCTATCAAATTCAAAGCGAGTTAAAACTGACAATCTAATGGGGTCTTCACTGATGTCGGGAAGTTTAAGAAAGTATGTATTAATATCTTCAGGATTACATAAATGGGATGCCATATTACAGTCCTCTTTCTTAAAGTTGGCAACACTTTGTTTGATATTTTTCCATAAGAGTTTTGGCTTGTTAGTAAAATTGATATATTTATTGAAATATGCTATTTTTTCGCTACGTATTGCCGAATTTACAACGTTTTTCAGGTCTTTATAGAATTTTATGTGTATATCTAATTTAGTAGTTTTACTTTTAGTGTATGCCCTATCGCGTAACTTCATCATTTCTTTAATAGTAAAGGTTATCCATGGATGTGATTTATTTCTTATTAAACAAGTTCTCATAGGAGCATGCTTATTAAAAAGTTGAAGTGTTATATTTGTAAAATTTTCCACCATTTTATTCAAATCATCATTTATTATATTTTCCCATTCTATACATTCCAGGTCTAGATTAAAACTGTTAATGTCAATTTCTCTTAATGGTCTGTAAGTAATTAATTTAGGAGGTCCTCTAATATTTTTAATATTTAACTGGCATGTCAGTAGCGCGTGACTGCAAAGATCGGGAATATGATTAATAGATACACAATATACATTCGTATTGGCACATATTAAATCAATTAAAGTTTTACTATTTCCTGTGAAATGGGTCGGCTGGTTCACATACTGAGTAAGTTTCATGTAGTTAAAGAAATTTTGTAACTTTTGCGCGTTAGGTTTATGCGTATGTAACAATTCAATCTTCAGGTAATGATTCAGATTCCGAAAATTCATCGTCGACGCTTTCCAAAATCCGAATGAGTTCTGAGGCTGAGGAATCGTTCATGTTGCACTGCACTAATTTTCCCGCTAATCGCTTAGACGTCATCAGCGTGTCGTCTATACTAGACTACGGCGCCCAGTGAACTGATTTTCGATGTCTCGCTAAGGATGCGCCAGAGTTGAGATATTAGATTTATTATGCGAAGATAATTTGATATTTTTTTAATTCATGTAGCTAATTATAGTTTTATATTTCTAACCTTTTGTTTTATTTAAATATCAATAATAAAAGAAAAAAAAAATAACACGTTTGAGCTCAATTTTGAATAGTTTTCAATAAATTTATGCCTAACGCATTACAACACTAGCGGTCTAACATAGACGACTTTGGCGTGCTGGACATAGTATTTGCTTAGATAAAAATCCATTTTTTTTAGTTCAATGTTTCTTACTACTTGTGGCTCTAGGAGACTTGTTTTATATACTCACATGTTACTGAGTTATTCTTTTTTTGAGGGGTGTAGAATTAAAATACCAGTAATAATTTTCCAATGTCTATATTTCATATTTTTGTGGGCCGGGTTTTTTTGTCAACTATAGACGTCGTTGGCGCTCAGGGCACGCAGGTGCTGGTCACGTATAGACGACTTTGGCGCTCAAAAGGTTAATAAATTAATCATAAATTATGTTTTTTATAATTTTAATTATTATAAATTTTATTACAAATATAAATTATTATTGATTTTTTTAAATAATATTTCACTATTTTATAATGTTTCTCTTTGTCAATAATTAAAAACTTCACAGATAATTACTTACCGATGGCAGCGCGACTATAAATTCTACAAATTTTCAGGGACAGGCGGGCTTTGCTTTAGAACGAAGCGATCGTTCTCCTGTTTAACCTCTATGCTACGGAATGAAAAATCCATATACGTAAGAATAACCTGACTATAGAATGTTGTTTATACTTTTTTTGTTCCTTTGTTCACAGTATTTTAAATTTTGCTGTGTATTAGTGTTGCCGGTATAACAATTATCTTAACTTCAGAAATTCAAATGTTTATAATACGTTAGTATAGGTAACGCCACGAGTGATGGAAGTGCGCAGAACCGAAAAATCGGTATCGGCACGGTGAGGTGTGAGGTACGGGGAAGCGAAACCATAGCAACGGGCGACGCGCTACTTCCAAGTACATTCTTCATACGTCCCGTCGCCCGCGCACCTTCTTGTGTCGTCTTGTGTACTATCGACATCCAAAGTATGAGCGACTATCTGTTATACAATTTAAAATTTTTGCGATTACTTATGTACTTTTAAAAATATTGTTCTGTAATATTTTCAAATAGTGTGCAAATATTTTTTTATTTTATAAATTATTTTGGGACTATTTGAAATAGCGTAGTTCGTATAGTCTGCGCGGAAGTGCTAGTCATCGCCTTAGGTATGCAAGCGGCGAGACGGGGGAGGACGCGATTGACAAGACGCACACGAGATATTTGAGGACAGATAAATCTCCGGATAACCATGTTAGAAACTGTCTTAATTAACATAATGGGTAAATTATTTATATTTTCCGGGCTAAACAAAAATTAACACGTATTTAAAAGCGTTAATTAGATTTTATTATTTATAATACAAAACAGTTTTCTAAACTCACCACCCAAATTAAACCTAAATTACCTTACTGCGAGAATTCTATGTTCGACCTGTGGGTTCGTATCACAAATAAGGAGGTTATTAAAACCTTGCGGTGTCTAGACATGAATAAAGCTAGTGGACCAGTTGGTATACCAGCTATAGTTCTATAGCGAAATCCGTTATAGCACAAAATTAATCCATATCTTCTTCTTCTTCATTACTATACATGTCTTCAATTTCCATATCCTCCTCAGAATCTGAATCGTTTCCCAGGTTTATGATCAACTCGTCTATTACATTGTCAAACCTCATATCGTGGTCCCAATATTGGTTCTCGATTTTCTGTACGTGGTCGTCACACTTTTGCCATCTTCCCGGAGTGAATTCAGAAAACAATTTTGTGATGATTGGAATTTTGTCGTCCAATGAAGTATTTATATAATTTGTTTCCATTTCTATGTTTCCGTATAGCTCTTAAATACCTTACTCTCCATTCAGCAATACTGGGCCTCTCAATTAAAATGTGTCTCTTAGATTTACATTTTTTAAATAAATATCCCATCTTATGTAAAAGCTGTCGTAAATAGGTACAACCGCAGTTCACAATGCCATCTTCTTTTAAAACTGCAAGCAGCTTACGAATACTTGGGATTTTCTTATCACTAGTATAAAATTGATGAATTTTTCTTCGTATAACTCCCATGTCAAAATCATCAATCTGGATTCTCTTTTTTTATTTCTTTAGGTTTCCGCGGAGATGAAAATTTTGCAATTTCCGATGTTTGTAGACTCGAATTTCCTTCAGCTACAATTCGCATTACGGTGCGGGCAGACACTCCTGTAGCCTCTGCTACTAATTTATTAATGTTCATATCATATTTGTGTTCCATACTTTCCTTGTCGCCCTTTCGTCTTAAAAAAAAAACTATGTACATTATAAATAATATTTTTCACTTGTCGTGGTGTTGGCGGACCCATCTTAGAATATTTATCTCGTGTATTTTTGGAGAAAACTGTCGCGTACAACTGAATCGTGTAAACGTCGCGGCGGTTGACGGCAGACTGCGTCAGCTTGATGTTTATCTACCTCCCCCGTCCTGCCGCTCACATACCTAAGGCGATGACTAGCACTTCCGCGCAGACTATAGTATATTGTATAAAGTTGTAAATATTTTGTTATTTTCCACAAGATTTTTTTTTGCAAATTATTGCATGTAAAATATCCTTATAAACGAAGGCTATCGCATAGTATAGTTTAAACAGCAATTACAAATACAAAAATTCAAATACAAAACATTTTATTTCTTTAACTAAGTGTACATAAAATGCAGATTATTATTTAGGAGCAGTTAAAACCTAACGATGATATATAAATATATCGTTCAGTTTTCGTGGAGACTTTGATGTGTAGTTATAATGTTGACCTTTGACTTTTTACATATTAAAATGCCATAATAAAATTTTCATTTTTCTGCTTGATTGTACATGCGCAGTAAACTCTATTTAATTTCATCTTACGTGGCACGACCTATACTCTTATTAGTTTGTGGTTATAACACTCATGGTTTAATGGTAACAACATCTAAGGTAGTGAATGTCTGCAGTTCAGGTTAAGTTTAATAATTGTTGTTTTAGGTTTTGTTTTGTGCTTTTAGTTTAAGTTTATTTTTATTTTATATTTCTTATTATTATTATTTAATTAATATGTAGTTTTTTTTGTAAAAATTACATGTCTTTAGGGGAGAGTGATCATAATCAAGTTCCTCATCCTTCTCTTTAGCATCTGATGTATTGAGTAGTAAAGAAAGCTTTGTAAGCGTACCATCTTTAAAAGAAACTCTTGACTCCTTGCGTACGAGGGCGGCACTGAAAATTTCGGGAATCAAGGAAGTGGCATTACTATTTAAAAATGTATTTATTGCTTTTCGAAGTATTCTCCGCGAAATTTGACACATTTTTCCATACGATGGAACCACTCATTGAAGCAACCATTCCATTCGGAAGTTAGGGTCTGCAAAATGGCCGTTTTGTAGGCGTCCACAGCTTCTTCGGGTGATGAAAATCTCTCTCCACGCAATTTATAAAGAATAAATTTTAGGGAAAGTATAGAAATCATTAGGGCTTAGGTCAGGGCTGTACGGCGGATGGTCTAATAATTCTATGTTTTCTTGCTCTAAAAACTCTTTTGTTCTGTGTGCGGTGTGAGAACTCGCATTGTCGTGATAGAGGATGATGCGGCGGTTGCAGTTCTCTCTGCGGAGTTCAGAAACGACTTGTGGCAAACAAATGCTAGCATACCATTCTGTATTAACCGTTCTTTGTCCCTCAAGAGGAATAGTCGTAACATGGCCGGTTTTGGAGACAAACGTGGCCACCATTTTTTTTTGCAACACTCCGTGAACGAACAATTTTTGTTGGATTTAACTCATTTTCGAACACCCAAACTCGTGACTGGTTTTTTGTTTCGGGTTCGTACGCGTATATCCAGGATTCGTCACCTGACACGATGTTGTATACAGCATTTGAGGATCCTGCGTGGAATATTTCGAGAGTTCTGACGCACCAAGTAACACGAGCCGCTTTTTGCTCTTCACAGAGCGAATGCGGTATCAATCGGGAAAACAACTTTTTACACCTAATTGTTCATGCAAGATTATTTGTATTTGACTCATGCCAATGTCTAAAGTTGCCTGAATTTCGCGGTATGTCACATGTCGATCTTCCTCAATCAGCTTACGCACAGCATCAACGTTTTCTTGGGTGACTGCAGTTTTTGGACGACCTTGACGGGATCATCACTGAGCTTGACACGTCCACGTTGAAATTCAGCAAACCAGCGATAAATTGTGGTTTTGGATGGGGCTTCATCACCAAATGCAGAAATCATCCGGTCAACACAATGTTTTTGTGTTAAACCACTTCGAAAGTCATAATAAATAATCGCTCTTGAATTCTCTCGAGTTTCTCTTATTTGCACTCTTCATAAATTCCATTACCTCCAGAACACCTCTCTACCACTTGTATGCTGATGGCCTCCAGATATATCTATAAACCACCGTAGAGGATTTGCCAAAAGCAGTTTGTGATTAAACAAAGACCTAGCGTTTATTCTTTAGAGGAGCCGATCTTATGGGTGAACTGTTAATCCGATAAAATCCCAAGCTATAATATTGGTAGTTCAAGAATAATCTCCAAATTTAATAAAACTTAATTAAATCCCATAACATTTATTGATGTTCAAATCTCTTATGACATAGTGAAAAACTTGGGAATCTTGATAGATTCTAGCCTTTCTTGGTCTCCTCAAATCAACGCAGTCTCGTAAAGTGTTTGCAGCTTATGGTTCACTCCGAAGAATGAACTACTCCTTACCCATCACCACCAAAATTATGCTTGCCCAATCTTTAGTGCTCCCCATACCCCATTATGCTGACATAAGTTATCTAGACATTACCGAAGAGCAACTTAACAAACTTGAACAACTCCAAAATCTATGTATAAGGTTCATATTTGGACTTCGTAAATATGACCATGCCTCAGAATACTGGCTTCCAATCTGTCTTCGTCGGAATATTCATATCCTTTCTGCTCTCTACTACGTTTTATTTAATATATCAAGTCCTCCCTATCCTAAAGAACGTTTCCAATTTCTCAGCTCCACTCATAAACTTTCCTTTCGGTCCTTAGAAAACCTTTCTCTTCTATGTTCCTTGCACTCTTCCACTTTGTACAGTAAATCTTTTTTCAGTTCTCGGAGTGAAGCTTTGGAATTCCTTACCATCAACTATAAAATGTGCTCAAACAATAGACTCCTTTAAAAACCAACATAAAAAACATCATCTTTCCTTCGAAATTTTCCCTCCTCCTTTCATCTCTTCCTGTCGTTTTATGATCACTAGTTTGTCAGTTAATATTATTTATAGTGCACTCTACCCATTAATTAAGTTTTCAATTATTTTTATTTCCTATTTAGGTTTTTTTTTAATATTACTAATCCTATTAACTAACATTACTAATATTCCCTTTAACCACTCCTGGTAAGCTGAAAATGTTTGTGTTAGGAGTGGTTCACAACAGTAGTCGAATGGTGGATTCGAACCCGCGACCCTTTGAGTTCGCGGTTCGCGCCCTGCCACTAGGCTACTGTTGCTTTGATTGTCTGGAAGAAATTGCTGTATAGCAATAAGACCGCCTTTTGTTTTTCTCTTTGTTACTTCTTATGTTATTTGTTAAGGGTATTGTATTGTAAAGGCGTCTCGTGCACATTACGATAAAGTTTATAAGTAATACTTACATATATTATACCTACTATTTTCTCTTATTATTTATTTTTCATTCTTATAAATGAACCAACATTCTTAAAGAACCAAAAAAACCTTAACCACAGTTTAAATATGGGAATAGTTAGGAAACTACCTACAAACACTCAAAACGGCACACTCACAGAAACATGCACAACTACGACTCCTAAGCGAACTTTGCGTTACGCTCAGTAGCGAGTGCCGGTTATCTCCGCGATCTTTTGCTATGAACGTATTGCGTAATGTACAGCTGTTTGAACTCTGCTTTATCAAAACCGGAGGGAGCTATCATATTTTAAACTTCCTGCTGATTTTGAAAAGTAAGAATTATTTTTTATTGTAATAATCCTTATCGAATTATAAGTACGTGTGATCGATCATAATGAATTCGTGAACTTATACAATAGTGGTAACAAAAAGTAAATCCAAGATGGCGGCTGCAATAATTATCAACTGTTACATCATGGGTGTCGTTTTCATGGTTTTTCGAGGGTTTTGAAGCCGATAGTACTGTCGAAATATGAATCCAAGATGGCGGCTGCAATAGGTATCAATTTTTTCATCATGATTATCGTTTTCATAGTTTTCAATAGTGTTGAAGCCGCTAGTACTGTCAAGACGTGAATCCAAGATGGCGGCTGATATAGGTGTCAATTTTTTCATCATTGGTGTCATTTTTACGGTTTTTGAGGGTGTTCAAGCAGACAGTACTGTCGAAATGTTAATCCAAGATGGCGACTGCAATAGGTATACATTTTTTCGTCAAGAGTATCATTTTCATAGTTTTCGATGGTTTTGACGCCGATAGTGCCGTCAAAACGTGAACCCAAGATGGCGGCTGCAATAAGTATCAATTTTTTCATCATGGGTGTCATTTTCATGGTTTTTGAGGGTGTTGAAACCGATAGTGCTGTCGAAATGTAAATCCAAGATGGCTGCTGCAATAGGTATCAATTTTTTCATCATGGGTGTCGTTTTCAGAGTTGAAGCTGATATTGCTGTAAAATTGTAAATAACATAGAACAGTATTTTTTTACAAGAGTTGTTGCTTAAAAGAAATAGTCCCACTGGGTTTCTTGCTGGTTCTTCCCAGGGCAGAGATTTTTTTTGCGAACCAGTGGTAAATGAAAAAAAGCAACTTTTAATAAGTATTATGTATAACCGATATTGAATAAAAAAGTTTCTGTTTCTTTACGGTCACTACGGTCGTAGCCGCTCATGAGCCCTACCCGCGCGCCACCGGCACTGTTTTCGTCCAACCGGGGCCAGAACTTGTAAAAGGTTGTTACGCCGTAATGACAAAGTTAAAGATCTATAGTTCTCAACAACAAGCTGTTGTTGTTATTATTAAATTGTTTTCCGTCTTTAAACTATTGTCTTTTGCTGAGATTAACCGACGTCATGAGATTACTTATTTAAATTGTATTTGTAAGCTAATTATTTAAATTCCATTGATTGATCACTTCAGAACAAAAATGTGAAAAAAAAAATCAAAAACATTAAAAGTCACAACCCTATTGCTTCAATTGAGCGTAGGTAATTGTCCTAAACTAGGCTTAGTTTCCTTACTGTCCATATTTATACTGTGCCTTAACCACCTTTATGCATCGGTTGATCTAGCCCATTACAAATTGTTAAGCTAATATCTTACTGTGCTTTCCAAATACAAACACTCAATACCACCCAAACATTAAACACAACCTTAATGTCATTTCATTTATTAATGTAGCATTACTACTATAGACTTAGAATAAACTGGCGGTATTACTACAATTATGATATATTGCGTCATACAGTTGCTTTTTATAATTCTTAAACTTTTTGTGTATTTCTTAATAATACAAATAATTAAGACCCATTCCATGTGAATATTTATATTCTATATATAGTGTTTTTTATCAATATATAATATCAATATATATAATATATCAATATATAAATATTCAAAGTTATAGCGATACAATTCTTTAATAAATTTATTTATATTTATAGAGTTAAAATAAAATTTGAACAATCTTTGTTTTTCAATTTATCTTTAAAAAGTATTAATAAATTTTAAATTGCACATATAGTGCAAATTTTTTATCTGCACATAATTTCAAAGTTATAGTGATACAATTCTTTAATATATTTATTTATAATAGAGTTAAAATAAAAGTTGAACAATCCTTGTTTTTCAATTTATCTTTAAAAAAGTATTAATAAATTTTAAATTGTACATATAGTGATAATTTTTTATCTGCACATAATTTCAAAGTTATAGTGATACAATTCTTTAATATATTTATTTATAATAGAGTTAAAATAAAATTTGAACAATCTTTGTTTTTCAATTTATCTTTAAAAAAGTATTAATAAATTTTAAATTGTACATATAGTGATAATTTTTTATCTGCACATAATTTCAAAGTTATAGTGATACAATTCTTTAATATATTTATTTATAATAGAGTTAAAATAAAAGTTGAACAATCTTTGTTATTCAATTTATCTTTAAAAAAGTATTAATAAATTTTAAATTGTACATGTAGTGATAATTTTTTATCTGCACATAATTTCAAAGTTATAGTGATACAATTCTTTAATATATTTATTTATAATAGAGTTAAAATAAAAGTTGAACAATCTTTGTTTTTCAATTTATCTTTAAAAAAGTATTAATAAATTTTAAATTGTACATATAGTGATAATTTTTTATCTGCACATAATTTTAAAGTTATAGTGATACAATTCCCTAATATATTTATAAAGTTAAAATAAAGACAACATAATACAATTTATTTCAAGACATACATGATACATTTGTATCCTAAGGAATCGTGCTGTCAAGTCGTTTGAGCCAGTAGCTCTATTCTCCGGTGATCACCGGTGAATTCACCGGAGACTGCCCAATAACCGGTGAATTCAATCGGTTGTCGAAATTTTGCTCCGGTGCAAACCTCTACTAGAATTTTGCTTGTTCTCTTCTCTACTAATCTTACCAGATATCACACGAAAAAGGTTTTGCTCTAATGTGTATTTTCATATGCCTTTGCAAATTTCTTTTTGTATTACATAAAATTCACAGATATTACACGAAAATGATTTCCTTCGGTATGTCTATTCATATGTGTTTGCAAATTATCTTTTCTAGTAAATCTAAATTCACAGATATTACACGAAAAAGGTTTTTCTCCGGTATGTATTTTCATATGCCTTTGCAAATGTCCTTTTGTACTACATCTAAGTTCACACATATTACATGAAAATGGTTTTTCTCCGGTGTGTATATTCATATGGTTTTGTAAATTACTTTTTGTATTACATCTAAATTCACAGATATTACACGAAAAAGGTTTTTCTTCAGTATGTTTATTCATATGTGTTTGCAAATTATCTTTTCTAGTAAATCTAAATTGACAGACATTACACGAAAAAGGTTTTTCTCCGGTGTGTATTTTCATATGCCTTTGCAAATTTCTTTTTGTACTACATCTAAGTTCACAGATATTACATGAAAAAGGTTTATCTCTGGTGTGTATTTTCATATGGTTTTGCAAATTACTTTTTGTGTTACATCTAAATTCACAGATATTACACGAAAAAGGTTTTTCTCCGGTGTGTATAATTGTATGCCTTTGTAAATCTCGTTTTGTAATACATCTAAATTTACAGATATTACATGAAAAAGGTTTTTCTCCGGTGTGTATTTTCGTATGTTTTTTCAAATTACTTTTTGTATTAGATCTAAATTTACAGATATTACATGAAAAAGGTTTTTCTCCAGGTTGTTCCAGGTTTGATTTAATAGTAGGACCTTCAAAATCAAGGTCGTCTTGGCGTACTACGTTTATCTTACTATCAGTAGAATTCGATTTAACCTTCTTCTCTGACGGTGCTGAAAAATTATTTGTCGGTGTTATGTACTGTTCTGAACACACAAATTAAACATTTTATTTGTATTAATATATTGCATCTTTATTGTAAGTCACCATAAACGGTTCACAATGGGCGGAGTTTATGACTTAATCTCTATCAGTTACTCTAAGGGGAAATAGAGAAATTATAATATTTTATATAATTATACTAAATAATGTTGCTGGATATAAAGTATTTTAGCCAATTACTCCGAATAATATCTCTCATTTTCATTTTTGAAGGGAAAGCATGGTTCTTCTGACCGTAATTACATTAATCTAATAATCGCTATTAATAATTAATAATGCACACAGTACGGTCGAAGTTATCGTGTAAGTGCGGCATAAGAGAATGGATCATCACATTTTGTCGCGTGGGTTTTGTAAGAAGCTACTATGGGATTACCAGAAAAATCTAATAGCTTCCGACAGACGGCGTTATAACAACCTCGTTTACTTCATACGTAAAATCTAATAATCGCTGTTAATAATTAATAATGCACACAGTACGGTCGAAGTTGTCGTGTAAGTGCGGCATTAGAGTGGGTGAAATAAAATTAAAGAACTGGAGTGTCCAAAAGTGCAGCTCACAGGATATTGCAAGAAAATTAGTTTCACACATTGCAAACATGAATCTGCATAAATCCAAATTTGGTGAGAAAAGATTGATCACAGTATCGCTATAAGATTAACCTTTGGACTGTAATTTTGAATGGACATATAATCAGTCCTTTTGAGCAGCCAGTGATTTTGACCAGTGCAGTGTACATGGATTCAAAACTGGGCAAAGTATTCATATTGAATACTTGGTTGGGAAAAAATACATTTCCTTCTGGACTGGAGCAGTTGGCTGCAAATTTTAAGAAACAGTTTTCAGAAGCTTTTATTCAAAATTTATTTAATTTTGAAGAATTTATTCAAAATTACATAATAAAACGAAAATTGAAGCAGGAGTTAAAAGACCATCACAGGATGTAGATTTTCTCTATTTTTTTTTTTAGAAATTACTGTAATTAATTTTTAAAATACATAGGAAAGATTTTTTAGTATTTTTCTATTTACTATTATGAATTGACATATCTTCTGGACTGGAGCAGTTGGCTGCAAATTTTAAGAAACAGTTTTCAGAAGCTTTTATTCAAAATTTATTTAATTTTGAAGAATTTATTCAAAATTACATAATAAAACGAAAATTGAAGCAGGAGTTAAAAGACCATCACAGGATGTAGATTTTCTCTATTTTTTTTTTTAGAAATTACTGTAATTAATTTTTAAAATACATAGGAAAGATTTTTTAGTATTTTTCTATTAACTATTATGAATTGACATATCACCCGAATCCGGTTTGACGTCGCCTTCTAGAACAGCCCGTATGTTTACTATATAAAGGACTTAAAATAGATAAGGTCTCCGGTTCTCTACACTCACCATACGAAACACTATTAAGCTTTAAGCTATCTTCACTAAAAAGACTGACGTAGTGATATAGTAATAAGAAGAAGACTTTCTATAAGAATTCCATGTAATCTATATTCAATAAAAATTATTCTATTCAATTCTATTCTAAAACAGCCGGTATATACAGGGACATTTTTAATTTACGTGTGCGCGTATTCGCGCGCGCGCGCGCGAATGCGTGTGTGTGTGTATGTGTATGGTAGTGTGTGTGTATGGTAGTGTGTGTGTGTATGGTAGTGTGTGTGTGTGTTAGTTAGTGTGTGTGTATGGTAGTGTGTGTGTATGGTAGTGTGTGTGTATGGTAGTGTGTGTGTATGGTAGTGTGTGTGTATGGTAGTGTGCGTGTATGGCAGTGTGTGTGTGTATGTTAGTGTGTGTGTGTGTGTGTGTTTAAGTTAGTATGTGTGTATGGTAGTGTGTGTGTATGTTAGTGTGTGTGTATGGTAGTGTGTGCGTGTATGGTAGTGTGTGTGTATGGTATGTGTGTGTGTGTGTGTATGGTAGTATGAAACCTTATATTTAGTAGCGCCGCCTAATGGGGAATAGCTGAATTGTTTTTCCAATAAATATTCAGCGAAGCATTGCTATGTTTCGCTAGAGGGCGTAACACACACGCGAGCTTACAGTTTTTGTATGCAAATGTTCCCAGTATCTGTTCTATAGTATATATATTTAAATCTTAGTTTATAAATAACGATTTTCCTCAAGTATAGTCGCCTCTTACGACACCTACGGGATGATATAGATATTCATACACGGCAACAGATAATTTCTCAAAACATGTTATTTGTCGACAACGTCTTGCATTCGTAGTTTCTCTAGCGCTCACTTGACCTTCATAAAAATATCCAATCTACACACAAAGTAAAATTTTTATCTATGGTAACCGCTGTTAACTATGACATTTGGACGTTGAACAACTCAGTCCCCCCCCCCCGTGACCATGGGTGCTGTAAAGCGCTCGAAACTTCGGGTATTTATAGTTAAATATACGCGATAAAATACGTAAAAACTAGTATTGTTTCAATGTGTAGTGTTCGCGTAAATATAAGAAATCATTATAGAAATAATGGATTCACGTACTTTCTGAGGCATGGGGTTGAAACACTGACAATTTTCTGGCTCTGGGCTGCTACTGAAAATTTCTTGATAGCAAAACCCAAAACTGATTTTGGTCTAACCCAGGATCTCATGATTAGCATATGTACTTAGAACAACTTTCTCAGACATATTAATAGCCCTAGTAAGTAAAGCCCCTTTCCTGTTTTATCTTAAGTACCCGGTTGACCGAGCTTTGCTCGGTATTTTTCGCTCGGTTTTTTTAATTCGTGTGTTTTGGAAATTATTTTTAGATACAAATTACATACTGATGAAATACGAATAATATTTTTGATCGTAGCGACATAATAGAAAAAACTGAACTGGTTATTTGAATAAAAAATCATGAGTGCAATTAGTTTAATTTAAATTTTCGTGTTTTTAAAAAATACTAAAAAAAAGGGCACGAAAAAATAGATTTTCTCAAAAAAGAAAGGAACTTGAAAAAAAAATTAAAGAGTCGGTCGGTCGGTCTGGGCTCGAACCATGGTATTACGATTTGTGACCGCCCAATATATCAATTAAGCTATTTGTAATCATTAATGAACTGTCAAAATTTAGCTTCTTATTCTAAAGATATTGTAGCAGTTTTTCATTGCCTAAAAACATGGACAAAAAGACATTTTCTAAAAATAAATCCTAGTTAGATCGATTTATTGCCCCCGAAACTCCCTGCACACAAAATTTTATGAAAATCGTTGGAACCGTTTCCAAGATTCCGATTATATGTAAAATATGAAATACAATATATATATATATATATATATATATATATATATATATATATATATATATACAAGAATTGCTCGTTTAAAGGTATAGGATAACACCTCAGGTCACCACCAGCATGAAACAAGATAATTGTATGGCCTACAAATAATCATTTTGGTTTTAATATTTGTTCATGTGAAATTAAAGAACAAAATTTTGTATGTAGAGTACATCTCCAACTACTACTTTTTGATACAGGTTTTTTAAAATAAATTCCTTTACCTATGTCAACATCATCTGTTTTACTCTTTGCACCAAATGCAATTAGCGGCAAGTTGTCCTCCAAATCCTTATGTCGATCTTCAAAAGCATCAATCTCCGAGTCTTCTTGTTTTTCAGCAGTGTCTGGAATGAAACAGATTCTGACTCAATATTTAAACAAGTCGTATTTTTTCCAAGCGACTAGATCATTACAGTCAATCACACAGCTTATGGGCCCGAGCCATCCAACTTTCATTACCATATTGCATGTTTCATAAGCTAAGTGTAATAAGCTGAAGTAGTATGGGCCAAGGAACTGAAAACCGATGGAGAAAAAGGGTTCTTGAGTGGCAGTCCCCCACTTGAGTAGAGTAACGACTTCGTATGACATGCAGGAAGTCAATGGATGTATGTGGCTCAGGTCCTCTCATTGGACTTGTGAAATGCTGCAGTCATGATGATGATTCATTCACCTCATTTAGTCAGTACAAGAATGCCTTGAGCACCTTTTCTCCATATATTTTTTAAGTATGAAATGACAAACAAACTAACAGTCCACCTTATGGTTTGTAGCTGATCCACTTGATGATAAGTGGGTACTGCAGTCCGTGGCCTGCAGCTAACTTTAAACATAAAAGGCTACATGCGCTGTCACCTCTGACCACTAAGATATAATGCACCTCAGCCTGTGATTGTACTGACTATACTCTTCAGACTGGCACACAGCAGTGCCGGCACTGCAATTTAACGACAGAAATAGGTAACAGGAGGATGGAGGAGTCCATCGGGGTGAAGAAATTGGCAAAGATAGGTGGTAGCTTACCAGTTGTAAATATATCATTAATTACTATGAAATTAATACATCTTAGTGTACATATATGCTGCCTGCATTTATCCAGAGTCAAAACATTTATAAATATATTTATACATAAATAAAAGAAAATGTCTAACAAAGATCATTTTGATATCCATGTATACTTATCTTTTAAATAATTATTTAATTTGTTATTTTCTTTCTCCATACGAGTGCTTTTTACATGTACTTTGAATTTAGGCAAAGGCAAATCAGTACATTGCACATGAAGTCCTCTTTATTTTGTGTCCATGGGCTACAGTAACCACTTGCCATTAGGTAAATTGTACCTCAATTTAATATCTTACCTGTTTCACGACTCCAGTTTACTTCAAATTAGAAATTCTCATTTTTAATATTCTCTTCCTCAACTTTTAACAGATTCAAGGCTAAAAATGTCGTCCTTTTTTATTATGTGCGAGCAGCTATGCAGGTCTAGGGAAGAGACCAGTATCACTGCGACCTAGAAGATCTATTGTGATCGTTGCTATGGCTATAGTTCAAGGCTAAGCCCTGTCTTCAATGAATAGAAGGAGTTGCTTAGCTGTAAGCAATTTCACTTTTTCTGAGCGGAGTACATTTTCCCAGATGAGTGTTACGTTTGCGCATTAAGAGTCCGCAATCAGTTAGGATGTGTAGAGGCGTTTCTTCCGTTATGGAACAGAACCGACACATTCTTTAGTTGCTTAGTCCCAGGATAGACAAAAGCTTTTTAAGACAACAGTGTCCAGTTAGGGCTCTTGCCAGAATGCGCAATTTATATTTACTTAATCCCAGGGCTTCTGAAGCGAATTTACGATCAAAAGCCCGGATTAAGGTTTTAGAATGTTTTAAGCCTGGTGTGTCAGACCAGATCTTAAGTGATTTATTGTGATAAAGACTTTCAAGGGTCAATCGGGCTGGCTTCTTGGAATTCCACAAAATGGCTCAGGTCCAAATTGTGTGCACTTTGAGCCGTCCCGTGCAAGTTTGTCGGCAAATTCGTTGCCTACAATACCCTCGTGACCCGGAACCCATCGTAAAACGACCCTGTTGTTACATCCAAGTGCGTTTAAGCGGTTCATGCAGTCTCCAACTAGCTTCGAGTTCACTAAGTTTGACTCTCCTCACCCCTAGCAGTGCTGCTTGACTATCAGAGTTTATGTAAATTATATGGTTGATGTAGTGTTTTGCAGATTGATTTCCGCACACCGAAGTATGATGAAAATTTCTGCCTGGAAGATAGAGGTGTATCTACCCAAATTCATACTAAGTTTGAATTTGGGGTGTTCCCTGTAAATTCCAAAGCCTACAGCGAGGCCCATTTTAGACCCATCGGTATACCATATGAGGCTACCGACTCACAGATAACCTGGCCATTTAGCCAGCCTTCTCTGGATCGTAATTCCACTATATACTTTTTATCAAAAGTGTATATTGGACGCATGATATCTCAGATCATGCATAAGACCGGTGATTCCTTAATTGAGTCGAGCATGGATCTCAATCCGTAGGAGAGCAAGCTCAGACCGCCCTGGGCGTTAATCCTATACAAACTAGCCCTCGCCTCCTTGTCTAGATAAAGATCAAGGGGCGTTAGGCATAGAAGTGCATTAAGAGCCGCTCCAGGTGATGATCGCATAGCTCCAGTTGCCATTAAGCAGGCAGTCTTTTGTAGACTATTTAGTCTGTCCGCAGTCGTCTTTTGGTTGGCCTTGTTACACCAGACAATAGAGACGTAGGTGAGGATCGGCCTCACTATGCTGCTGTACAGCCATAGGACCATACTGGTATGCAAGCAATGATTTCAAAAGGAAGGATAGGCCCGTCTAAATATTTTACTAATAACTTTTTCATACAAGAAAAAGTAGCGTATCTGTCATAATACAAACGTCATATCAAAACACAACGTATCCCAATTGTACCAACCACTATTTCATAGTTTGTAGTACATAGTATCGTAATAAAAATAAGCGAAAATACCACATTTCACCTAAACGTCGATTTGTATTATTATTGGGTTCTTTTAGATTTTAATACTAACCCTACGATATCGAGAATTTCTGTATTGTAACATTGAGTACCGCATTTTTTTATAAAATTAGAATTAGCTCCCTTTCTGGTCAATCGATGCTCGATCGATGCATTTATGTTGCATCCTTGATGGTAACGCCAGCTAACAATCTACTTTATCAACATTACATTACATATCGCATTGAGTTCGTCCTAAATTATATCTACTTTATCAACATAATGAAATGACTAGTGCATATTTGACTCCTCCCCTTTCCTTTTCCTATTGCACGCGCTGCTGCCGAGGTGAAGAAAAGGATCTCGGCGCGCGTTATTAAGTGACATTACGTTCGGCTAGCCGGCCAGTCTTAGATATATTAACCGCAAACCGTGCAGGGCGAACATTGAGTTCTCCTGTTTATGTTTAATATTCACCGCATCAGACATTGTGTCTTTGTAACTTATAAAAGTGTGAGACGCCCCCGTAAGTGCAAAGGTCGAAAGTGTGGGACTTCACGAAACTGTTCCGAGAGTGCGTGTGCGCCGAACCACGTGGCAAGCCCGCTGTATAGCAGACACTCCAGGCGGAAGGCGAGGCAGCCCTCATCAGGTCATTGCGTGCTATCCCACCTACTCATTTACCCCTTTGTCGTATGCACCAAAAATTACAGTCCACTAAATATTTAACGAAGATACCTTAAGTTACTGGCGTCTTCATTTTAATGATCACTTCTCGCCGGATTGACCTTGACCTTCCGCCCTTATTAGATCGTTATCGTAATAAGCGTTTACATAATTAATTATTTATATTTCAATCCGACTTCGGATTGACCCCGCCCTAGAACACTAAAATAGGTCCTATTAGGTGACATCCATAGTAATTTTAAGATTTAGAATGAATAAGCATATAATTATTTATAATATTTAAATTATTTTGTTGTATGTTGACATGACGTCATCAACTTTAACTACAACTATAGATTATACTACAACTATATATTACCTTTATTATTTGCATATATATTTAAGGATTATATTCGTTATAAATAACTTCATAATTACTATAAAAATTAACAATTAAAGTTCATCTTTAACAAAACTAATATTTAATAATTCAAACGCGTAGCGACGTCGCTTACAGACTACCCGCTTATAATTATATTTTTGCTGTACAACATTAGCTGTAATGCCGCCTAAAAAAACAAATAGCGTCGAATAATAGTGATTCCTCGGATAATGAGGGCACACTTGATGCTGAGTTGGTTTTATTATTAGCTAAACGAGATGCTTTATTTGAAATAGTGCAAAAAATATATGATATGTCCTCGTAGATCCACACAAACACTTCCCACGATGGAGCGTTTTCTGGATGGAAGTTCTAATATTAATGCTTTACGTATTGAGTTTAAACAGGTCTTAGATAATTATAATTCACATTTATTAAAAATAAACCCTATCGCTAAGCCTGACTAACAGCCTCATTGCGTTTGAGCCTCTTTGCGGTAGAATAAATAGGTTTCATTTAGAATTCACAAAGTACTAGTACACCATCTAAAGCCAGATTTACACTTCCGCCTATCGAACTTATGACATTTTCGGGTGACATTCGCTCATGGCCTTTATTTTATGCTAGCTTTAAATCAACCGACCATGACAACCCATCGCTCACCGACGCTGAAAAGTTATACTATTTGCTAGGTAAACTAACGGGCAAAGCCTTATCTGTATGCTCAGGTATAACTCTTTGCGCTGAAAATTATAAAATTTTATTGCAAGCACTCGTTGACAAATATTAAGACCGGCGTGTGCTAGCCTCCACGTATATTAATCAGATGTTCGAATTTAAGCCATTGCAATCGGCCACCGCAAATAATTTTGATTTATTTACTGATAACTTTATAAGTGCAGTGCGCGCTTTACAAAACTTAAAGTTAGATAATCTCGCGGACTTAAATGTTCTTCATATCGCGCTTAAGAAGCTGGACCCGGATACCATTCGCTCTTTCGAATACAGTCATAACTCGATAGTACCTACCTTTGATGATTTAGTAAATTTTATTAAGACCCGCTCCAAAATTTTGCAACGCACCGATTCTAGTACAAATTCTAATAGCGCACCAAACAATCGACGAGGTAACGGTAATAATCGTCGCTGTAATAATACTTCGTCGCCGAAATATCAGGCGTACGTAGGCACGACGACTAGTTGTTCAAAGTGTCTGTGCGATAATATTGTGCATCAACACCTATTTAAGTGTGCAGACTTTAATAAAATGACGCGGCAGGAACGATTTAAATG